ACATGGAAATTTTAATTCAGTTTGGGTATAAACAAAACTTCACTCTATGAGTTCAGGCAGGGGCAAAAGCTCACTCAGGAGCATAGCCTGAATGAACGGGGTCACTCTTCAGAGAGCCAGGAGGAAGCAAATACTTTCCAGGTGGCACTCAGTAGATATTCACAGTATCAGTGGAAGCAACTAATTTCAGAGGCCAGTCACCCTACACTCTCTTTATAGCCATTAAGGAGAGATAGGCACCTCAAAAAGCAGTTTAGAAAACCCTATTTAGGCTCTTACTGTGATCAGTGCTTTGAAGAAAGCTTGCCTTTGCCCGTGGTGCATAAACCTTCCTCCTAGCTGAGATAGGAGCCCACAGTTGGCCTGCACCCATCTGCTGCCCTTCACCTGTGCCACTGCAAGCCTGGAAAATCCAAACCTCCCTGCGGCTGAGGACACATCAACCACATCCCAGGCTCTCAGACAAATAGGGATGGTAACACACACTCCAATGTTTGTCAGTTTTGATTCAAAATGCTGCAGGATACACTCCAATGCCCCAGATTCTATAAGCCCTAGAAAAATATCATTTCATGGTGAAAGGTCATTTTAAAAAGAAAACCTGTCCCAGGCCCTCTTCTGACAAAATCAACATTCTGAACCCAAACTTTGCACTCAGAGAAATATGTTATTGCTCTGTTTATGCAGATCAATGGGAAGGGAGGAAACCTCCCCATCTTCATGTACATCTCTTGGATTTACATGTGATAGTTCTGCTTTACTTTTTAAGAAGTTCAGCAATATAAAAGGCTACAGTGATACACAGGAGCCTTCAAGTCACTTTTGTACCACATAGGAAAAAGAATTTTCCTGCATCTTCTTCAGGTTACTCATGGGCACACTGTTTTCATGCTCCAGTGAGAATGTTTAAATGTTGTAAACCATTCATTAGAATAGCTCTTCCTGCAGTGTTTGACAACATTCTAATATTAGAAATTGGCTCCTATCTCCTATTTCAATTATATGTGAGTTGCATGACCAGGTAATTTTTTGAAATAGACTTCAGCACCCATCAAACTCAAATTCCGGTGTTTATTGAACTTCAGAGCAATGTGTTGAATTGCAATGGTGGCCGTGTATCTTTACTCATGGATGTGCTGCACAGCTTCCCCAGATGCATTTCTTAGTTATTTTTCATGCAATACAATTCAATATAGTTTCCTCTACTGGCTTTTAGTGCACAACTAAATTCAAGTACTTTCAAAAAGGGGTTTATTTTAAGCCAGGGATATTAGGACTGGGAACCATTCCATAAAAGTATAATTTTCTACCCCTCCCTTAGCAGAAATGGAAAAGAAATATGCTCTGCATAATTTTAAGAGAGCCTCAGCATTAATACAATAGAAACCAGTGTAGCCTCTCTATATATACACTCACACCAAACATTTCTACAGGACTTGTTTTTGCAGCAGTAGCTTAACTCCAAAGCCATATAAATCTACCTTGTTTGTAAAACTACTGTAGGGCAATGCAACACAGGCCAAATCTTTATTCCACTGACATCCATAAGACTGATAGCAGCAGAAGAAAGCAACACTCCCATATGTTTATTATATCATATTTTATGTAGCTGTCATGCTCCACTAGCTTTGCACCAAGCTGAAGTCTGACCTTCATCTCAGTATGAATGTGCAGGGCAGAGTGACTGCATGTAGGCTGCTTAATTCACCAGCCTTCCCTGGGTGTTGCATTATCTCCCCCTGGAGCATGTTCTACATCTGCTTTAAGGGTGTGTTTACACTGGAGTGAGTGTAGTGTGAGTACACATTCCTTAGTAAGCATTTTAAGGAGTATCTGAGGATTGTTTGCAGCACAGCTGTGATAGCACAGACCTCAGCACTGGGGTGCCCCATATTTGCTCAGTTTTAGGGCTAGTCTGCCTGAGCCCAAAACTGCTGGCCAGGACAATCTCTCCTAAGTCCGGAGAACTTGGAGTTAGTAGGTCCACTCATGCTCGTGTTCTCTCATCCTGTGCACAGAACAAGGTGGTGAGATTGCAGAACACAGAGCATAAGCACAAGCATCCCACTGCAAGCAGACACCATGTACTAAATATATTAATTAAATATTGAATTCTAGACAGCCAGAATTAAAATGCATAAACAGTCACTCATCCCTAGGCAGCCTGGACTAAGAGAATGGTCTGTTTGCCTTTCATATTGAGATCAGCCTGAGCTCTTAAGATAAGTATTTGGGAGAGTTGTAATGTTAAAGAAGCATAAGGTCATGCTTTAAAATGGGGTACTTCAGTGTGAATATCTACTGATCAATTTATGGTTGCTTTGACTGTTGTTCATGTCATTTATATTCCCTTGGCACTTGGAGCATCCCTCAATAATCCAGGCAAGACAGAGTGACCTGAACAAAATCAAGTCTGTTCAACAACATGCAGAATGCAGACTTAGATTCTAAGCTGACAGAAGGAAAGAGCATGAGCACATTTCTCTGCATTGTTCTGCTTTACTCTTAATGTGATGTTCTACTAAAATAATTTCTGTGTCCTCCTGTCCTATGGGGATAGCTCACTCACACATTCCTGCATTCCTATGTTTGTTCATTCTCTGTTAAGTTTATGAACTGTGAATTAGAGTTTGCATCATTTTTTTCTAACCTTTTAATCTGTGTTTCAGCAATTGTACACAGAAGACCTCATGTGATAGAGTCTATCTTTTATCTTCCAACTCTTCTCAAGGTCCAGCCAGGCCTCCCAGACTGAATTCTTATTGACACTATTTGAAATTATATTGGCTATTCTGAGAAAACTGCACAAAAGGCACCGTAGATGATTTGAGGACACTGCCCCTCTGAAGGCACTTCCTTAAGAAAGTATCAAGTGTCTATTTAAGCATTTGCATCAAGTATTGCCAAGACAACCAGTGCTATCATGATCCTTTAAACATGCTATTAAATTGGACCTGAGACATTTGCAGTCTGGTTTGTTGGAGGCTGCTGAATAAGCTGGTTTATTTCTGAATACCTTGATTTCTTCACCAGTGAAACAGGGATAAAATCAATTTCCCCCGTAAGTATTTTGAGATCCATTAATGAATAAAGATATCTACAGAAAAAAGTTTTATAAGGAATTATACTTAAAATCTTTATGATATCCTTTTGACAAGTCCACCTGTGTTCAAAATATGCTCTACTGGAGGAAATAAAATTGTGGCTCAAGTTTTTGTATAAATTTTATAAATCTAAGCATTCAAATTTTTTTTGTCTGTATCTTAATTTTCCTTAAAGAGGAAGATTTCATTATTTGAACTTTTACAGTTGAACCCTTTGAAAACTAACTTAATTAGTAACAGTGTAGCTCTGTTGTATGGAGGAGAATTCTGGCTGTACCTTTAATACTTGTAATAATTTTTTTTTATGTATCATAACAGCTCCAAACAGTAAGCAGCACATTGCTATAGCTGGCTATTTATTACACCTACTGTAGAAAAGGAACCAAGTCTCTATTACTTTTTTATTCATATAGATGTTCCTATAAACCAGATAGTTAAGTGATGTATTTATTTTGGTTTCTAGCCAAGCAGAAATATTTAAACCCAGCTTTTGGAAGCAAGAATTATCTAATCACTTGCTAGCTTTTATAATAAAACATTTATCATGGGACATTAATCCATTAGTACTTATTTTCCATCCCATCCTTTCACTAGCACCTTGCTTTGAACCAGGTTGAGTTTGGCTGTGATTTTTCCTTTTATCATATATCATAGTTACATGATGGGACACACCAACATTGAATTCAGAAAAAAATCTTGCACTTTGCTTGAACTTGGCACCCAGATGTTCTGCTTGTGCTTCCACTGCTAACAAAGTAGTGCATGTGTGAGTTCTGAAATAAGTCTTTCATTGTAATGTACCAGGGTTTCATGGATGTGAGGAGGCATGTGGAAACAGCTAAGAATAATAACCTGCTAAAGAGAAACCTGTGTTTTACTAGCTTTGTTTTTTCACAGCTTTAATTTGCATAGCACATCACCAAACTGCCACACTTAAGCTCTCTGGCATTAAAGGCAAAAATTAAATGCTTCAGGGGGATTTTCTGCTTTATTTTGTTTTGTTTTGCCAAATTAGAGATTAAAGGTAACCCCTGACTAAAAAGTGCAGTCCCTGACTCTGTGATGACACATCACCTATGGTGCAGTGTGGCTGATCAAAGGTTGGGCTTCCTCGGGCTCTTGCCGGACCTGGATTTTCAAAGCCACTGCTCAACAGAGTGTCAGCTCAGGACCTGAGGTGACATCTCCTCTTACAGCACAAAGCTGATGAGAGGAAGGGGAGCACTCAGGGAACTCCACAGTCTCATTCTGTTTTCTTCAGCTCCCCCTGAAAAGAGGGAAATAAACAAAGAAAATGAAGGTGAGAAAATAATGAAAGAACAGGTAGGAAGGTCCTTGAGGAACAAAAACCAGAATGTCTGTGCAACTAAGAAGCCTCTGCTTATCTATGGCCTTTGTGTGCTGCTTTTCCAAGCAGCAGTTGGATGCCCAGGTAGGTAGGCAGGTAGGTACCTCTGGAGAACACAACAGCTGGATCTCTCCTCCCCATTCCCCAGAGTGTGCTGGGACCAGGAACAGAGCTCAGGCTGCAAAACTCAGCTGAACCCAAGATCATTCACACATCTGAAACACTGCACAACATTGATGCCGTGTGCCCCCAGACAGGGTTCTGCAGGATGGTGTCAAAGAGAGGCTGCTGCATTTGTTTCCCATTTCTATTAAGAAATGTTCCATTTGTGAGCCAAAAAACCCACCATTTTTTGTAGATGCATTACAGAATGTATGAAACATCAGAGCCAAATTCTGTGAACTCTGGGTGTAATCTTTACTGCTGGAGTAGATCCTTTGCAACCCATAGGTGTAATAAATACTATGTCAAGCTTTTACAGAACAAGAGCCAAACTATTATTAATTGTAGCATTGGAAGACCCTGATTCACTCCACCTCTCTTTGCAGATTTAACTGAGGCCTGTGTCAAGGGCTGGTTTTAGCAGGCTGCAACCAAGGAAGATGAGTGACTTGAGAGACCACAGTGATTCGTGAGGCTTGGGTAAGTCAAAATGCACACACAGAAACAAACTGTCCACTGGAGAAAATTACTCCTGGGAAACTGGGAATAAAGAAGGAGAGGATTTTGAAGACCATGCATTATTTTATTATTCAGATATAAAATTTCCTTGCTGGTTGTTAAAATATAGATGAGAGCATTGTGGTCTCTGTGGTCCCCAGAGGAAAGTGCCTGTCACCCTATTACCCTGTGAGGGCTTAAGGTGTCACAGTAACAGAATACAGATACAGGAGTAGTTCTTTGTACATTTCAGGCTAATCTCCATTACAAGTCTGCCTATGATTTTGGAAGAGAATAAATTTGTTTCTTTTCACTGCAGGTTTTTAATCCTCAGATCATTAATGTGCATCCTACACTTGTACTTCTCATAGAGTTTCTGTGGACATTAGAAAAAATTTTGTGTGCAAAGACAGATGCAATGCAGATTCAGAGAAAGCAAGCTGAGCAGAAGTCCCTAAAAAATCACTTTAAAAATTGTGTTTAGTGTCCAAGCATTTAAAAGAATACAACAATATGGTCATGGTTGGAACATGAAAAGTCAACTCCTCAATAAAGTTACATTTTCTTGACTTATTCCAATAATTCTTTCTTACTAATTTATGTGGAAGTTTTATCTTTGCAATACAGGACACATATATACACAAGACTATGTCCCTATACTTCTAAAAATAGGCCTGTCCTTTCAGATTACTTGTATTTTCAGTAGTCTAATGTTTATATTTAAAATACCTTTCCTTTTTTTATGTATGCTTCACTTTTTTATTAGAAAAAGCTCTTCAGATTTTTTTTAACATAGGTAATTTAAAGTTATATTAAAAATTATGTGGATTAAATATCCAGATATTACTATTAACAGAAAGAAAATATTTTCTTTCTTCCCACTGGGAAAACAGTTACTGCCTTTTCAAACCAAGTTACCAGATCAAAAATCTGGGAATTTCTGTCATTAAAATGGTATTACCTCATTTTTTAAGTTCATTAAGTGCAGGTGTGTGTAAATGATCTGATGGAATTCCCTCAGCACCTGCTGAGCCAAAGCTTAGTTCACCACTTGTGTCAAAATTAGTAGCATCAGGAACACTCTAACTTTTGAAGCTGGGGGCTGTTCCAATGGGCTGCTCCAGAAGCCAGGAAGATGTAATGAAGTCAAATTCAAATCACCTTTCTTCTTCTGTAATCAGATTTACTTGTATAAATAACAACATGGAAAATAGTATGTTGTGAAATATTATACAATAAATATGAAACGATGGAGTGCAATACAATAAATAGACCTAGCATTATTGAAGAGTTATGAAACCCAGAATTTAATTTTTTTACCAGTTGCTGATATTGGAACACTATTAGGAAAATCTCTTTTGACAGGGTCATCATATCTTTGATGAGCCTCCTGACCTCTCGATGCTTTCCTGCAGGACATTCCTGCATGGTACAGAATGTCTCGCCAGCCCGGCTGCGTCTGGCCCCGGCGGAGGCTCCGGCGCTGTCCCGCTCGGCCGCAGGGCAGACACGGAGCGGCCGCCCCGAGGCTGTGCCCAGCCTGGGGCGGGGCGGGGATCGCTGCGCCTGGGGAGCGCAGCGGGGACAGAGCACGGGAAACCGAGCCACGGGAATGGGGGAAGGACACTCGGCTGACTCTCCGAAGAGTTAATCCCGAAGTGAGGCAGAGCAAGTGACACATCTGAACCTGAAGGGGCTGCTTTTAGGGGATGGGGAGAACGCGGGGAGGACACAACCCTTGAGCAACAGGAGGCATCAGGGGAGGGGTGCAGGGTAAGGGCTCCCCAAGAGAAGCCAACATGGGGAGGGAGCAAACCCTACAATCCAATTCTGCTTCAAGGAAGGGATGAGAGACAGGGAACAATCCAGAACCAAAGGAATGGGATGTCTTTGACAGACAGGGGTAAGACAAGGGAACAAGGGAGGCATGCAGGTGGATTGACATGTGGGTTGACATACATTTTGGCAGGGAAAACTGTGGCAAACAACTCAGGACTGAACCATTAGGGAAGCCAAATGGGGTACATAGAATGAACCATTACAAACTTGTAACAGGGAATATTAAAACATACTACAGAAGAACGAACTGCAAAATAACAGAGTACCACACTGTGCGGTGACTCCATCCCAGCATTTGCCAGGCTAGCTGTGTCTTCAGAAAGATAACAGGAAACGTACAAGAACAACATTAACCACAATAATCACGAGTAACATATATATATGTAACAAGGTTAAGTGAGTTATTGGGTGGGGTTTGAAGCCATCTGCACAGCCACTGTGGGAATGTACAGGAGTATGCTCTGTACTGGCTAATCCTGGTAGCTACTGGACTTCCCCGTCCTTTCCAAGGGTCAGCCCAGTTCAGAGTTACTGTGACTACCCCAAGTGGCTTTTGCAAGGGCAGACTTTACCTGTATTCCACAAATTGTTCCTACTCTTTTTGGGGAAGAATGCCATTATTCTTTTCCTTTTTTGAGTACAACATTATCGGTCTGTGTTTCACTCTGCCTCTGTTTTCCTTTAAGTCTTTTTCTCTCTCTGCATATTCTGGTACATCTTGAGGTATGGTGATTTTTTTTTTGTTTGTTTGTTTAGTTGGTTTGGTTTTTGTGGTGTGGGATTTTTTGAATGTGTATATATCTTCTTTAATAGTTTTTATTATTTTTGTCACTTCATATTTTGATACTTTTATTTTCCTTCCTCATTTCTCTGCCTCCTATTTTTTCTCCTCTTCCTGTTTCCTACTTTATGTACCTTGCTCCCTTTCCATCTATTTTTCCTATATCTTTGCTCTAAAAAGGCCACCTAAGGTTGCCCTGCTGTGGTACAGCCTCCCTGGCTTACCTTGGAGTGGAACAATATTTTCCCTGTGCTCTGAGGTCTGTGGTTCAAGCACTCTCTTTTTTGCCTACCAAATGGGATGAGAACCAGCTCTATCCTTAGCAGACTATTTGTCCCTTGAGTATTATGCTTCTGTGTGATCTTCTGAGAAGTCTAACACTGGATGTTGTCTAAGAGAATGATAGCATTTATTAAAAATGATCTAAAAGGCAGAAGTCATGAACCACGGAAACATGCTATAAAAATGAAACACACAGAAAAAGGCTCTTTTAAGATGCTGTTTGTAGTCCTGGAAATGTGGTTACTGAAAAGGTTGATATAAGTCATAGAAACACCCATTCTTAGAAATCATAGCTGGCCTTCTACCTCAGTAGCTAACAGAGCTAGAAAGTGACCAAGAACAACTTTCCAGATCCTTATCCTTCAATTATTTCTTTCCATAAGAATCATTCTCCCTCCTATTTTACTGGGCCCACCATTCCTAACTCATACTCCTCAATAATGTCCTCTTTTAGCATCTAGAAGTTTTATATCCACTTCATTAATTTATTGATATCTTTAATGTCTGATTTCAGGCAGAAAGCATTTCTGCCTTTAATTAGGAGAGGTAACCCTGGCTGTGTGCACAGGCTGGGGAACAAGAGACTGGAGAGCAGTGCCATGCGACCTGGGGGTCCTGGTTGATACAACACTGAACATGGGCCAGCAGTGCCCTGGCAGCCAGGAGGGCCATCCCTGTCCTGGGGACATCAGGGACAGCATCGCCAGCCGGGCAAGGGAGGGATTGTCCTGCTCTGTTCTGCACTGGGGCAACCTCACCTCCAGTGCTGGGGCAGTTTTGGGCGCCACAAAATAAGAAAGACTTGAAGGGCCTTGAGAAGAAGCCATGTGAGGAGTGGCTGAGGTCACTTGGTCTGTTCAGCTTGGAGGAGATGAGGCCAACCTCACTGCCGGTACAGCTCCTTGTGAGGGGAACAGGAGAGGCAGACACTGATCTCTGCTCTGTGGTGCCAAGGGATGGGACTCAAGGAAACAGCCTGAAACTGAATCTGGGGAAGTTTAAGTTGGATATTAGAAAAATATTTTTCACCCAAAGGGTGGTTGGGCACTGAAACAGGCTCCCCATGGAAGTGGTCACAGAGTTCAAGAACTGTTTGGACAATGCCCTGAGATACATGTGTGATTCCTGGGATGTCCTGTGCAGGGCTAGAAGCTGTACTTGATGATCATGATGGGCTACCTCCAACTCCCCATATCCTATGACTCTAAGTAGGTGTTGTTAGCCAACATTTCTTTTTTTGCACCCAGAGCTACAGTGATTGATTTAGTGGCTCTACACATCCCAGCACCAACTGCATTTTGATTGCTTTGTGTGCTACCTGATAATGTTTGACACCTTGTGATCCTTTATAATCCTTTATAACAGGTGCTTTATCAATAACATAGCAGTCCTGTTAAACCTCTACAGAAGTACACAGGAACAAAAAGTATTCCAGAAACAGGAATTTAGCAGCAAGGCATCCATTTTTCACCCATGTGGAAAAAGTAAAACTGTAACCTGTGTGTAAGAGGTTGAATTAATAAATAGGGGTTTTTTTTGGCAATTTTAATGTAAGTTATTGCTAAACAGTCTCCTCTTCCCCCCCGCTCTTTTCTTTTTCAAAACATGGACTAGATTTTTTATTTTTTTCCCCTCTCCCTCTTTTTCTTTTTTTTTTTT